CTAGTTCTATCGTTGCAGGTTGTTGGGATGGAGTCTATATCAATGCTTATCCCTTATTGTCCCCTCTCTACAGATCTATTTCGGAGCAAGCATCGTGGCCATCAATGCAACTGCTGAAGCTGGAGTGAAGAGGTTTACCTTCATTTGGGTGCATGACTACAAAGCACCAGGTGGGACTGCAGAGCAATTTTCAAGGATAGTGCCCTTGTCGTTCTCATTGAGCCTGGTGTTGCTCAAATACATTGCACACGTGAAGCGTGCCAAGACTGGGATTGCGCTGTTGAGCGTGGCCCACTGTCCACCCAATGCCAGGCTGTGTAAGGCTGTGCAGGAATGGTGTTGTGTTCAAGACCAACTGGATAATCAACATCTGTGCTTTGTGATGAACAAGGATTAGTGTTGCTCTGCCTAGCCAATGTCCGCTAGGTCAGTTAAAGATACCAAGGTTTAAGGCTCGCACTGTGTGTGGCAATATTGGGAGTTCCGCGTCCTGGATAATTTGCACATCGCTGTACACAGTTGGCCACAATGGAGGTATTTTCCTTACTTTTGCTCACTGACAAGTCTTGAGAGGTATTCTCCAATGTGACGTCGCCTCATCACAGCAGTCTTCAACCCCTTGTCTTGTCTGTTCCTATAGGGAGTGCCTGACCTCATGCGGTTTTCCAGCACTTTGAGTGCAGGAAGCAGCCCTTCAGTAGTTGGGATTGCAACATTCCACTCATGCCAAACATCCCGCAGCGTCAAATCTATGCGATGGTACAAGTGACACATCACAAACATCAGTACTTGAATACGATTGCAAAGACTGGTAAAGGTAATTTGGTATTAGGAACTGCCATAGTGAATGCAATGCCATTTAGATCATTCGACTGGAATATTTGTGAACAAAGAATAATGAACTGAGTCGTTGCATCTGAATGTTCCAGTCACCATGCACCTTTTAAGTCCCGGAGTTTGGTGATAAGACAAGGGGGTGGGAGAGAAAGCAATTCTGACTCCCGTGTAGAGGGCTCTAGGGTCATCTCCTGCTGTGGTGTGGGTGAGGAATTTGGCTCATTGCTTCCTTTCCCCAGGCAGCTCTGCTGCTGGAGACTGTCAATCATGGCCTTCATCTCCTGGTTCTGTTGCCTGATCTCTTGGTATTGCTTCTCCAGAACCCCCCACATTCCAGCAATGGACCTCTGCGTGTTCTTGTACCCTCCTTGCAGAGCTTGAAACATGCGGATGGGTACATTCACATCATGCTGGCCATCATTGTAGGGCATCTGTGCTAGTACCCCATCATGAATGGCTGTGTCCATGTCAGCAGTCCTCCCTGCAGCACCCTCCGCATGCAGATCGTTGCCCTGCAGGTCGCTATTCCCCTTCTCAACCTATGGCCAATGGAACTGCATTTTCACACAAGGAAATGCTCATATGTCCTATTGTAAAAACTGGCATGTTCCAAGTTGGAACTTCTTATTACTGTATCAACTCAAGCATCAAGTTACAGGCGCCTGTGTGATGCTAGGCACAAGCTGCCCATCCCTACACTCCTGATGGGATGGTAAGGAGAGCATACTACATACACCAAGAAAGGAAGCCAAGGAACAAAACGCACCTTTCTCATGTATGAAAAGAACTGACTGCCTTCCACAGGTTCTTTTCTATAGCCCTCAGGAACGTCCATGGAATTGGACACTACCTGCATGTCCAAGAAAATCTGCGACACCCGCTCCTCTTTGTGCAACAATACTTGTGGAGGGCCCATCAAACTATCTGCGATATTGGTGGTCTCCCGTTCTAGATTCCATACCATAGCGCACCATCGTTGGAACGTTTGCCAGTGCTTGTGGAATGGAGCTGATCGGAAGATTGCCAATTCTGGAAATTCTCGAAAGTAATAGGGTGCATCCTGCCAGAAAACCTTTCGCAGGTATACAAAAACCTCATATACATTTTTTGCTGCTGTATCTGCTTGCTTCCCCCGTGACTTGTTTTTCTGCAAGAAAGCCAAGCAATTGGTGTCAAGAGTTCCATACTTAACATAGACACATCGACAAATTCGTAATTGGCACACAACATGCAAGCATGTTCCAAATTGTTGCAAGTTGTGCGGTTGTGGAAACGCTATACATGTAAAACACAGCTGCCACCACTGTCAAAAGGTTTGCAAGTGGTATCGAATGCAAAAATTGAACAGAATATGTATTTGTTGAATTGTGTGTGCTTACGCTGTGGATCCTCTCGATGAATCCCTTGTCATCAAGGGAAGGAAAAACTGCCCGAGCCATGGCCGTGATGTCATCATCTTTGACTAAAAGGGGATCGATTTGCGCTCTGGTGATAAAATAATCTGATGGCTGTGCAAAACCTGCCATGTTTGCTGTGCACTTGGGGGAGTAAATCTTTGCGTAATGCAAGTTCATCACTTTCTCATTCCAATGGCCCAGATGCTCTGTGTCTTTTGAGCTAACGCCATGCACTTGGGCCCAATATGTCCCAAAGTGCCGGTCATCGTGCATGACACTGGTGCGCCATGTCTTGGACCCCTGCAGCATTTCCTTTTTCTGTTTGTAAACGACGGTGGCTTTCACAGACTCCTTCGGCGATGTGTCTGTTCTAAACAACATGATGTCATACCTGCAGGAAAGGTCATTCTCGTTAGTAACATTCGATTGTGGAATGAAATCACGGCAGTTTTGCAACATGTTGAAGCACAATTGGGGCCTAGTTCACACAGTTGGAGTTATGCACTGCCACTGATCTCACCAATCCTCTTTCCTCCCGTCCAGGTTAGGGAATTTCTCCAGCTGGCAATGCACCCTGGTGGCCAGGTACAAAGCCAAAGATCCTTGGGGACATTGCTGCCAGTCACGATGCCGGGGTGCAGATTGGTAATCTTCAATGCGCTCATCCTATAGAAAAGACAAGCTCAACAGGTAAGATACATTTGTTACGATGAGCACTTGAGCATGGTGCAACTGTTGAAGGAAATGAAATTAAGCACCTGGACAGATTTGTGTGGCGAACTCTCAACAATATGGAATTGGCATTTATTAGTGCATTGGCAACGTTTGCAACATCGTGCTGCCTACCGACCGGTTCTTCGACTCGCATTGCACAAGGTACAACGCAGTCATGTCCATAGGCCCCAATCCCGGAACTCCTCGGGGGTATGTAAACAACCACATATCACACAAGGCCCATTGAATGCCTTCATCACTTCTGGACACAGAGAATGTTTGCAGCATGGCTTGTGCTCTGTTTCTGATGTCTTTGATATGGCCCCTCTTAAGGCACCAGATGCTTTGTTTCTTTTTGTCTTCAAGGGTCATGTTTGCATGTACAACACGGCGTTGCCGGTCATCACATGCCCTGTGTGGCAAGCACAAAGATTATTTAGCTGTGGGGCCAAGAAACAATTGGTGTTAGGCAAGCACGATGAAATGAGCAAAGTATTCTTTGGTCAGCTAGAATGAAGCAAAATTTGCATGATGTACCATTGCAAGTGGTGTTTTTCCCATTCATACCTTTTTGATGCGAATGGTGCGTTTACACGGACATTTGACTTGTGATCCTTGAGAGTGGGCACATCTGCCAGTTTCGTGACCAAGTCAAGCTGCAGAAGATCGTATTGGGTTATTTGATACCGACCCAAGGCTGACAAGAATTTCTTTGTGTTGTCATATGACAGTTTTGGCGCTGAGATGGCTGTCTTGTGAATGAAGGTGTAAGACACTCTTCCTGCCAGCACGTCAACAATCCATGGTTGACGTCCATCCATCTTGACAACGCCTTCTTGGTAGTCCTCCAAGAAACGGTAAGCTCTGTCGCCGGTCACCAATAGGTGGCCCTCGTTCTTCCACATGACAGGTTGCTTCTCATTGAGCCAGAGCTGTTCACAGTGATAGAACGTGCATGCGTTATGTGATAGCTTGCATTCAGAGTTCCTGACTATCAACTTGACAAGTGAGATATTGCATGTTGTTGTGAACAGTACATGCGCTTTGCGTGTGCCCTGTATTGCCTAGTCATTATTATGGAAGCAATGGAAATGTTTAATACTTGCCAGCAACGTTTTCCAAAACCACTCCATGTTTCCCGGTGTTTTATTGAATCTTGCTAGGCACACCAACACACAACAAGAAGTGGAATGGAATGTGTTGCAAAGTTGAGATTGAGGATGTGCCACTGTGAGTGATTGAAACTGCAGATCAACAAGATGGCAGCATTACGAGGGATTGAAACTGCTGATCAACAGAATGACAATACTGCGAGCGATCGAAACTGCACATCAGCAGGATGGCGGCACTCTGAGTGATTGAAACTTCAGATCAACAACATGGCAACATTGTGAGGGTTTGGAACTGCGGATCAACAGGATGGCGGCACTGTGAGTGATGGAAACTGCAGGTGAAGAGGATGGCAGCACTGCAATTGACTGTCTAAAATGCACATCACACAAGTGCACCGTTTACTGACCAGGTATGCATTCATGACGCGTATGTAGCTCCTCGTTGTTCGCTCACTGTGGTCGTTCTGCCACTTTGCAATTCGTATGCGCAATCGCTCTTCAAGGCCAATGGCAAGTGCACCTTCCTCTTGAGTTTTGCATGTGTCCTGCAGGTTTGTGTAATTTACACCAATGGCAGCACACATTGTACTGAAATCTTCGTTTGCCATTGCGTCCATAAAGCGAGCAGCTATTTTGGGCTTCCCTTTCTTGCCACCTGTTACAAAAACAATTAGAAATAACAGTTGAGACAATCTTTGAGGGTGGCAGTCTATCTTGTTGCCAGGACTGGACAGGGCAGCAGCGGCAATCGCATCTTGCACCACAGTTTAAGTGCAGAAAGACTTACTTTTCTTCTTGTGCTTCGTGGATGTGGATGGCTCCAACTCCTGATCTCCATCCCCATCCGTCTCCTCCTCATCCGACTGTTGCAAGCTGTCTCTTCCAGTCAGGTGCTCCTCTTCGTTTGTCTCTGCTTCAGGACGTTGCTGCTCATGCACCATTAGGTTTTGTTCTGGTCCAAACATACCTATCAGTTCTCAGATTAATGCAAGCATGATGAATGCGACAGAGATGTAGCAATGTGAATTGTGTTGCACTATCTGCAACACATATTTTGCATGACTGGGTGGTTGGAAGATCCATTGTGAGTCAAAGGCTGCATATAGTGTATGAATTCCATCTGACCCGCCGTTTGTGCCCAACTCGTCCACAACTGCAAGAGTGGTGGCTGACTAGGCTGTGAATGGGATCAGAGGTGTATGTGATGGTGTGCATTCTGTCATGTGTATTTTAGGGCTCTGCAATTTGTCAAAAATGCATGTGTATGCCAGTCGTGAGAGGGAAACTCTGTTGACAGCGATAATATTGAACTTCCCCTCCTTTGCTGTACCTGATGTTCTTTTCACCTGTGTATCATGTGTCGATGGATTGAGATGTGGCTACATTTGGGTAGATTGGGTGAACTACTTTCCTGAGTGTTTTTCCCTACTGGCACACCTGGTTGAGTTTATGGGGCTGACACGTTGCACGTCTATGGTTGAAAAGTACACTGCTGTTCATGGAAGTTTAATGATTGTGTGCTGTCATGCAGATCCCATCGCTTGATGAAGGGATCATCATATCTATGATGATGAAGCTTTTCAATGAGCAAAATCCCCGTGCCATGCAGAATGATCATGTGGTGATATATAAAATGGTCAGATTGCTGCATTGGAGTGCATTGGGAATAACACCTGGGTGAAGAACTATGGCATGTTGTCCAGGAAGACGTTACTTGGTTTGGTTCTGTAGATTCGCAATAGAATGCACAGACGCAGTTGCTTTGCAGTCATGTTCAGGAGCACATATCTTTGGCACATACGCATATGTTGCTGCAACGTTGCAGACATATGTCTTGCATGAAAAGGGGTGTCGCACCTGGAGTTGTCACTGCGACCAGGCCTGCTTCCTCCTGCGGTCCTCTGCACTGTGCAGGCTGAGGTCCACTGCTATGTGGCATCTGAGGGTATCTCATGTCTGTGAGGTGGGACCGGTTTGTAACCTGTGTCTGTCCCCCGGCAACCATTTGTGCCAATCTGAAATCGTCAGATACAGGCAATGGATGCCCATCTGCAACTTGATCCCGGGGATCTCCTGCCAGTGGCCGACTGGCACCTGCCACCTGCTACCATCTCAGGCAAAATCAGGAGTTTTTCGCGACTCATGTTCAGGAAATTTGTAAGGCTGGAATTAAAGTTCTCGTCGTTGAGCTGAATGGAATGGGATGTTGCCAGTGTGGTGCAATGAAATACAGAGCAAATGCAATGCGCATTGTTGGGAAGTGTGCACAGAAACAACGTGCTACTGGGTGGCGCAGGTATGCAGGCGGCAGTCAGCAACGTACGCAAATAATACAGAGATAATTATGGCTAGCAAGCAATCGCACATTATCAACAGAACTGCAAACAGTATTGCGGCTGGGCGTCGTGCACAACCTGTGATGTGATGTCATCCTCCTGCAATGCAGCATTGGACATCACGCCAGACAATCCGCTGTCCATCCATGTCTTCTTGAGCCATTCACCCCAAGCAGCCATCTCATGCTCAACGTTGAGCATCATTCGGGCGAACTGTGCCCAATCCATGGCGGTGCCGGAAGCTGCGGCTAGATGTACGTTGGCGCATAGTCTGAAGTAACCCAATTTCCTCTTCACACCCTTTATCTTCTTCTCAGTTCTGTAACCCCTGTATTCAACCTGTTTTTTTGTTTCCTTCTTGTACAGCCCAGTGCTGTCAAGATGGGTCTTGACAGCTGCAAACCATGCAGGATTGGTATTAGCTTCCTGTATTAGGACTGCTTGAATGGCGCACAATTGAAGATTGTACATATAATACGGAGTCCACCTGCTTTGTCGATGCCATGCTCCCTGAAATAGTCATCGACCTGTTGATCGTTAAGTATCCTGCGAAGGCACCAAAACCATTGTTCACTACCTTGCGCCCAGTTGTGAAAGGGATATTGAATCCCCATCACTCTATCACCCCATCACTCCCTCGCAGGGCGCCCTTGTCCGGCGCAACATGTGGTATATGCATTCTGTTGGTTTCGCACCGCATTGTGCGTTGACGACGAGGAAGGAGTTGAAGCGGGAGCGCTGACGCGTGGTGACTGCTTCTGCTCGGAGTAGCGCCATTGTCCGCGCTTTTGGCGTCGCTGTTTCCATGACAGCAGTTGTGCCAGCCTTGCCAGAACAATTGGTAGTTGGCAGCCGCGCAACGCACACATCTGGGTTAATGACTTCAAGGCGATGGGGCCATTCTTGGGTGCTCCTTGGCGATATGGCAGGCTGCCATATGGCCGGCTGCATTGGGTGTGCAGCCGAGCGGTGTCGCCCACCGGACGCTTTTTTGCGCAAGTGTCACAGACAGGGAAGGACGGTTGCCTACACGCCGAGCAGGTGGAAACGCGATCTGGCATATGGTCGATCGCCAATGGGGCCACCCATTCCTCCAGCCGCAACGATCAGCAACAAAGGCGAGCCGACAACGGACACGCCCAGTGGATCTGAACTGTCTGCGAAGCTTGGAGTGCAAAAACACGTTCCAACACGCTAGCAGCAGAACTACACAACAATCCAGCCAGGTTTCAATCGACACCAATTTGCTGCCCTTCGCCGGGCGGAGATTGACAATGACTTCCAAGCATCGCACCCCGCACGGCGCAGCCGTTTGCCCACCATAAACGGCGCTGGAACCTATTCTTGAGTCTGTGATCGAGGACCGGGGGGGGGGCCATTCTGGGTGCATCAGGATGGCTGCCCATCATCGGCGGGCAACGGGAGATTGAGCACTGACGCCAAATTGCTGGCCCTCGCTCCAAACAAAACTCGCCAGTGACTTTCGGCCTTGTACTGGACACGCGAAGCAATGCCTGCATGCCATCAGCGACACCGTGACCACGGTCCATGGGCGGGCGTTGATGGCGGGCAGCCAGTTTGCCAGCCCAGTGGCGCCTGCGATCAGCTGAGATTCGTGTTTTTCCACAGCGAAAATGGACGCGCTTGGGGCATTCGGACCGAAATTTTCGCGCGGCGCTACGCGCCGCGCAGGGAGAACGCCAGGGGCACTGCCCGGGGCCGTGCCCCGGGGACGCCGGGGCCTGGCGGAGAAGTATCCCTGGGCCCGGGCACTTTCGCCAGTTGTCACCGGGCCCCTGGCGAGTCTGGAGGTGATTCGCGATTCAGTACATAACACCAATGTACTACACATGTGGTGATTCTATGGGGTGACTCTTGTATGGGTACACGGGTCCGGTTTTGCCAGCCCGGGTACCATCCCTATCTTGCACCATGGAGATAGCTCAATTTGAGCTATTTCTACTGTGCTGAAATGTTAATCATAACACTGTAGTGTTTGCCCAACACACCACCAGTTATTACCCAAAACAGATGCAAAGGGTGGTGCTGTGTGCCCTCCGAGTAGCCAAAATGGGATTAAAGTTCCCTGACCTGCACTTGCCATCTGGTGAAATGTCCCAAACTACATCGAAAATGGCACTAAGCAGCCCTTACCATTACAGTGGGAACAGGAGAACGATTTCCCTGCAAGCCAGTGGGGATGCAAGTAACCCCACTGTCACTGAAATGGGTTTGCCAAGTATAAATTGGGGAACTGGAATAACCAAAGTGTGGGAGGGGAGTTTGCCCAGCTGCTCCCTTTGCCTATGTTTTGGCCATTACAGCACATTCTGATGCTTGACGTCAATCTGGGCACAACAACCCTTTTAGCAAAGCGGGATATGGTAAGTTGGCATCCCCTTGCCATGCACATGGACAAATGAGGGGAACTATGCCCTGCACTTGGGTTTTGGTGTTTTCAGCAAGGACAACAGGAGGGGGAAGGCACTCGGCACCCCTTATTGCTCATATCTTGTCCTTTTCATCTCAAGCACCATCCATCCATTTTAACTGATGGGTATTGCTGATCTGAGCACAGTAACCCTATTTAGCAATGTGCCTGTGGGCTTTGACTTCACCCACTATTCGCATTTGCCTTGAAGTACCGTTGCCAAGCCTAACAGTGCCCATATAGCCCAGCTGCCATTTCAGTCACTTGAGCCTTGTTGGGGAGTTCAGGGCATTGCTTTGAAGCACAGGCTCAATTAATTCCTGGTTTGGAAAGCAGAACGCAATGTATGCGTAGGCTATGTTTCTGAGTGGCCTGCAGCCACATCTGGTTTAGTGTACATAACTACAAGAGCTCTCGCGACTTGCAAGAGCCCTGCCCTGGTGTTTTCGGACACATCGAGACTTTTCAGCGGCACACACTGTTGTTTGGCCACAATTAGTCTTCGCATGGTCAGATTTGTGTTCATGCGTGGCCGGACTCGTGTTTGTTCGCTGTTGTTCACTATGCCATGGGCATGAAGTCGTCCATACTCGGTCAGTTCCGAATGTTTGAATCGCGATAGACAGTGCACTACGACGTCTCCATAATGCATCACACAGTGACACATTAACGACCGCCCTGCCTTCGCAACTCCGTGATTAGGGCCATTTTGTCAGCAATGCCACCCCTCTTCCGGCGGCGCAAAACAAAGCTCACGGTGATAGCGACACGCCAGGGTGCCGTCCTCCTGCACGCTGCCCAGCGACAGGGCCGCCAGCCTGCGCGAGCACCGGTCCTCCACGGCCCGCCACTTCCCCTCTGCGTCCTTCCACAGCACAATGTTGCGCCCCAGGATGGCCTGCCTCTGATTCTGCGGCAGCCCGCTCTCGAACCCCCTTCTCTTGGCTCTCCTCCAGCAGATCCAACGGAATGATCGGATACCAATTCTTGGTCCACCGGAACGTCTCATCTTCGGAGGCGACCTCATCCTCCGTGGACGCCTTGTCCGCCGGAGCTCCCGCGTAGCCGATCGCCGGCCGTGGATCGGATTTCGGCAGAGGCATATATAATGTACCGCGGCCAAACACGGCCACCCTGGCGACGCATCGAGGACGCAGCGGGGGAGAGGCCAGCGCGGGGCGGCCCGCCAGCCAGCGCCCAGTGGCCGCGACCGGCAGCATAATGGCGACTGCGTTGCCCGTCTGCCGCCGCGTGTGCCTTTGTCGTGGAGTTTGGCGCCACCATGGCTCAGCGTGCAGCGACCAGGCGGCATCCACCGCACACTTCATCATACTTCACACACCACACTTCCACTAGCGCCACGTCATCATCATCATGAATGTATGAGGTCCCCAACCAATAATCTTGTATGGTTGTCCCACCTGCCCTGGTGTCGCAGCCCATCGCCTTCGGCCCCCGGCGCAGCAAGGTGCGGCGGCGACCGCCGTCTCGTCAGAGGCGCTGTTGCAATGTTGGGGTAAAGGTAATTACCCAACACGCCATCGTAACTTTTTGACGGCGTTCTTGTTGTCGGGCGCGGTGGCACGTTGGCATGTGCTCTGCTGCCACGCCCTGGACCCGGGGCCTGGCAATCTAGGCGGCCAACGCCGCGCCTTGGTATCCGTGCATTTGGGGTTCGGGGTGGGAAGGCAAGGGCTTGAAGCAACGGAAGTAGAATAGTGGGACCGCGGCACCGTCGCTCGCCGTGTTCGCGAGGTCTCCCTGCTGTCCCGACGAGGATCGCGCCAATTTCGGCCCCCTTGCTGCGTGGGACCCGTCCCTCTGGTCCCTCTGGTGCGCTGTTTTGGGAAGGGGAGGGAAGAAAGAAGGGGGTTGGGTGGGTAGGGGGATGGGGTTGGTTAAGGGAAGGGGAAA